CTCCTACACATGGATTGGCCTACGACAAAACCACTATCCGCTAAGCAGAGAATGGACCTGGACGGATGGAAGTCTCGTGAACTACATGAAATTTTCTACCATACAAACCGACACACAAACTTACTGGTTTATAAAATGAAGGGATAAGAATTCTGTTGGAAGGAGTAACCTGTGCGCAACGTTCCCCATCCCTGAAGTTGTCTGGCTGCATGGTAGAAAATTTCATGTAGTTCACGAGACTTCCATCCGTCCAGGTCCATTCTCTGCTTAGCGGATAGTGGTTTTGTCGTAGGCCAATCCATGTGTAGGACTTAATATTCCAGTTTTTGTCTTCTCCGTCCGTCTGTTGATAATTCTGAACTTTTTTAAAATTTAAAACGCTTCCAACTTAAAAAAAGATCTGCGTACAGTAGCTAAGTTAGTATGTGGAATGCCTGCAATAGGCATGTCTGCAAATGCCTGGAATCCCGCAGGGATCGCGCATGATCCAAAGGGGGTGGGTCGTACCTGATGAAAATTTTTTTCTGGTATCACGTGCCCAAGCCACAACTTCACTCATCACAATGTTCTCCCTGGTCCAGGGGCGCGTACTACTGAAATCCTGCCTGCGCCCCAGTAAACACTCAGAACCAGGCAAACTATAGGCATCTCGAGTCTTTCACTCCGTCTACCGCTGTCAGTATGATGCGCAGTCATTAACCCTGCAAGGGAGGCGTGTAAAGAGCATGAGTAGAGCGCAGTGAGGGCGGTCCTCCCCACCAGTTGAGTCGCTCCGAACCCGCAACAGTTTTGGCTTCTCTGACTGCGCTCTAATCCACACTCTTTCACGCGCCCCTTCGTTTGCAGAGATGAAGACTGCAAACAAGGACGTGAATCCCCTTTTGTGAACGTGCACAGCTTTTACTTCACTGTTTTGTTCTAGAAACGTGCGACCCTTGACTGAGTACAATTCTGCAAATGTCTAGAATCCCATTGAAAAAGTGTAGCTTGTATCCACTCCATTTGAAACGCCGTGCTGTACCCTGTTCCAAGACGGAATGTGTTCTTCTACTATAAGCCCACTCCATATGTCCCAGCACGGATTGGAAACCGTGCAGTCCTTAAAAATCTTGCGTTCCCTCTCTCCTTTTCATCAGTGCCGATATTATGCTGTCGTTATCCCAGCAAAGAAGGGGCCGTGAGAGGGGGCCTAGAGTGGAGCGCAGACAGGGCGGTCCTGCCGACGAATTAGGCCGTCTGAGCTGGCAACAACTGTTGCAAGAGCTACGCTGACCGCGCTTTGATCCACATCCCTTCATGCCCTCCTCCTTTCCAGAGAGATAATGACTACGTTGGTGAGAGATAGCTCCTCTTTTCATTTCTTCTGCCTTACTTTTTTGCGCTGACAAAAGCAGCCCTTGATTTTTGGTCCTTAAACTTTTGGAATTTACCTGTGATGAATTTATTCTCCTGTTCGCTATGAATAGATGCTAGATGCCCTCCCACTGAAATACATCGCTTTTCTGCCTCATCGAACGTTGCTTTTTCTCGGAATACCTGAAAATCCATTGTAAAGAGTAATAGCGCGGTTTTCAGGACGTGAAGGTCTTACCGAATAAGGAATCACCTACAGCGCCAATCACGTGAACCGTTGCATATTTCAACTAGTAAATATTCGTTATAATAATACTGTGAAGTTGCCATAATGGCAAGTGATTCCACATTGAAACGCACTTTCTGTGGTGGACCGCGAGTCAAACAACGTGCAAGCCGACCTTAACGTTCTCTTGGTTGGCTCAGTGGTAGCAGATCAGCTTCTCACCTGCTGTAATCTCATCATCGTTATTTGATTCGTTGGTACTGTTATGTCTCTCGAGGTTTCTAGGTAGAATATTTGCTCAATGGCTTAGCGTTTCGACGTGGTCGTCTTCTTGAAAGGCCTAGACGTGTTTCGACTTTAGAGACACTGCTCCTTCAATAGCCCGACCAACCCTAGCACTTATATGAGGAACTTCAACAACAAAATTCTACACAATAATAAAAGTGCACTCCTGGATTTCACTGTTGCCGTCACATGCGGGCAGTAATCAGTAGCGAATAGACTTACTGTGGCGTTTATACGTATAAAAGTGGGGAAAGGCACATGACACACCTACATAGAGCTAAGCACGGTATGGACACAAAAGGTCATTTGTTATTGACGGGCACTCATCTCGGCTGTTCATTCGAGGATTTCCACCGGGAATCCACATTGCCTTTCATTCCAATTATTTCAAATGTTGCCGTTATGCCTGAACAACAGCGCTGCCGTAATTATATTAGGATGTCCGGAAAGTTTTGAGAAATTTCAACCAGCTCATTTAACACTTATCAACAACAATAAGAGATAGTAGTTCATAGTTATAATAAATATTGTCCATCCTATGTCCCTTACCTTTTGGGCGGGATTACCTTGCGTGGGAGCTAGAACTAAGCGAGTACTGAGAATGAGGGGGCGTACGCAACATCTAAGCTAAACTTCCATGGAAGAGACCGATTGATCTCCTAGTATAGATAATTTTGAAGCGCGTTTTATCCAGCATCGGATACGGTTCCTCATTCCCGATTTGACAAAATAGCCAGAACGGTGAAGATGAAGTAAGAGGCGTTGGGAGTCGTGCGCGCTCGTACATTTTTCAGGTAATGTCAAATCATACCAACAATGGAGAATAATAACAACCAGCATTAGTATTGATCTACAAACATTTCTCTTTCTCATAGCACTTGATATATGACTTTCTGTTGGGGCATTCGCTTGCTACACTTCTTCAAACTAAAAGTGTGAAATTTTCTCAAAACTTTCCGGACAACCTAAATTAGGTGTTCACTTATTCGTACATCTAGCGGTCTTCTTGTCTCTCCGATATATGTATGGATCCACACGACTGGCATTCTATTTGGTAGATCACACCTAATTTTGCGCAATCACCAAATCTGCCATGTGGACAAATGACACAATCTCGCGATATGCACTGTTGATCGTAGAGCCTGTTTCGAACTAGTTGCTGCTTGATGTTGCTGTTAGGGATGTTATCTATCTAGACAACATCTAGCAGAAGTGTTTTAATAGTACTCCGCTGTACTGCGGCGCTTATCGTATCGGAGAGAAAGGAAGGCAAGCGGCGAGCTGTTTAGACGCCGATCCTCTCGCATATTGCTGCCCTGTCCACCAGCACGTTGTGGTGCTGCACAAGCGTCCATAGCAGCGATCTCACAAGCTGAGCTGACACCGACTTCTGACGCTCAACTTCAGCTGCATTCATATTCATTGCTGTTCTTCGAATGTTATTGACCACGGCACGCTGACGGTCTGTGGACGAGCTAAACTAGCGTGGAGCAAGGTATTCTTTGAACTGACCTTCCGGAAGCTTGCGTGCTGAAGGGAGAAAGCCAGTCGTTCTTAGCCTGATGTACTGCGAATGTTCATTTATAACATTTCCTCTTTAAATTCACTTTTCAAACCAAATTCACCACTTTTCAAACAAATTCACCACTTTTCAAACCAAATTCACCACTTTTCAAACCAAATTCACCACTTTTCAAACCAAATTCACCACTTTTCAAACCAAATTCACCACTCTTTTTAGACCGGGCAGTTCACCAACCAGATCACGCCAGACACCACTGCGACCCTGCCCCGACGGTCACGCCTACTTGTCAGCGCGGACATAGATTTTCAACACATGGCCGACTCCGCCCATTCTTCAAAGGGTTTGTTGCGAACTTCGAAATTTCATAACTTTTTCAACTTTTTAATTTCACATCCACTCTTTGCACAACGACTCGTACCGCGCATTTATGCACCGGCGAATTCGGCTCCGCTCCGTGAGCCACGCCCACTTGTTGCGGAATTTTGATATTTCTTCAAATTTTTTTATTTTTGGACTGCTCCACGAAGCCCCACCCCTG